CCCCGAGCACAAATATTCCGTTACTTTTGTATCGAAAGTCGGAACAACAATTATACATTTTTTGAAAAGTGAACATAAATGAAATATTTTACTGCTGCGGAATTGATTATGGATCAACTTAGTTACAATACGCTTCCCCCAAAAAATCAACTAAGGGGATTTTTTGTAAATAAAGACCTAGGGGGACTTTTTCAAGGTCGATGCAATTGGTTTTCCGGCTCTTTCAAAACATTTTTGACTCAAAAGACCTTTTTTGACAAACTTTTCAAAACCGCAGGCAATGTATTGAAAAAACAGCGTTGTTAGGTTCGCTCGGATCTTTTTAACTATTCTCCCCTTCGCAAAAGGGGGAAAACTCGTAAAAATGGGAACAAAATTCGCTTATGTGTAACCGTTGGACTATTTCACAAATAGTTGAAGAGATCACCTCGCTCTCTGGGACAACCCCCCTTTAATCTTAAGTTTCTATGTTCAATTTCAGTAGTATATAGTCACATAACACCCGTCTATCAATCATCATATAAATGATTTTACAATATTCTGCCTTCAAACAATTCTAAATTTACCAATTGGAGGAGCTTATTGTAAAAGACTTATTTAAAATGATATCGATGTTCTTCATTTATAATCATTGACTCGTTGCCTGAACAAAAAGATATTAGATAAAAGCACAGCGGATTATGCAGAGTTCAAAGCGATGAAACCAGATGCTCAAACATGAACAGAACTTGACAGTTTAAATGCAAACATCAGACATACATAAGTTACAATTGTATAAAACAGTCTTCGTTTTTTAACTATCACAATTAATAAGTATACGAGCCAGCGTAAAAATTCAATATTTTATTTTTGAATTGTCGAATAAACCAGTATCGCAACGGCTTGCTAAAATAGAAAAAACAAGCGCTTATTTTTGCATTATTATCTCAAAAAGCGTGTTTTTTTTGCATTGACATTTAATTAAAAAATTGATTTTTTGGAACATCAATCTTGGTGACATATTTTGTCCTGCCAACTCGCCTTTTTCGCTGTGACACTGCTAGCATTTATGTATGGTAAACTAAAAACTCGTTTTTTGTATACAATCAATTTTTCTATGAATAACCTGGAACACTCGAAATGAATATATGCAGTATTATTTTTGTAGTTTCTGCGCATTTTTTAGACTGCATATTGCTTTTTTACTCCATTTTCTAATTCCATCTGCTTTCAATTTTGTGTTTCGGTTACACTACAACTAAAGTAAATTTTTAGTGCCTAAGAACGCGCGTTAAATTTTTTGTGCATAAGAACGCGCGCACCTCGACCGTTATTTCCTTTCAAGGACCGGCAAAATACCGCCAAAAAAGCAAAATGCTAATTATGCTCAGGATAAAGTGCATTCAAAATACACAAAGAGGAAAAGCGCATCGTAGTAAATAAATAGTAACTTTATTGCAGCGTTCTTTTTATCTGAAAAATAATTTTTTATTTCATTCCTCCCATTTCCATTATCTTGCGCGATTACTGCACTGCAACAGCGCTTGCTAAAATTTTTACAATTACATACTTATGCACCGCAAACCATCCGATTAAATTACACATTTTTTGTGGCTCTTTTCGGTTATTCCACCCTTCTAAAGTATGGAAAATGAAAAATTTAAATGGAAATTTTTATAATATAATGTGGACATTTACTAGGAAATGCACTATATTATTATGGGACTGGTAAAAACGAAGCATTTTTTTGTTCCGACTTTCGATACGAAAGTAACGGAATATTTGTGCTCGGGGTGGGTTTTTTTCTTCAGACAAATTTCGACTTTTTAACTAGCCATTTTTGACGGAATTTTTTTATATCATTCAAAGGTATTGTTGTCCTGAGCTTAAATTTGAAAAGATATTTCACCTGTGATCATTTTTCGTAAAGTTATGAGGGTTTAAAGATTGCCATTTTGGCCATTTTGACCAATTTGGGACAATTAACGCGCAATATAATTCGCGCTATTAACGCGTAAGCGGAGATTTAACCGTCTTATAAATTGGTTGAACGAAGCTTATTTGCCATAATTGATTTGTTACAAGGAACGAAATCTATCCTTTTGTACTTTATATGGCGTGTGGGGGGATGATTTTCATTAAAAAATTTCAAATTTTAGAGAAAAAAAAATTCATTTTATTTTATTACATTTAATTTTTTTTATGTATTACTGCTGCTCAATAAACCCTAAAAGGCAGTCGGAACATTCAGGGCTTCGCCCTGATACGAGCAGTCTTGTACTTAATTGAGTCTCAAACTGACTTTTTCTCCAATTTTCGCCAATTTTTTAGGCATAAACTTGATTAAAAGGATGCCAAATGCGTTTTTAATTGTCGTTAAATTCGCCTTTTGCCAGCTTGATTTAACGCTCGGGTTATCAGCCCTGCATTTTTTAAGTCAAATCAAAATCAGTCCAATTTTTTAAGTAAACTTGTCATTTCTTGTAAAATTGTCACGTCTCAATTTTTTTTCTATTTTTCGCGGTTGCAAATGGCTAAATGATCATAATCGATGCGGGCACGGTGCCGCTACAAAATAATTTGACGCATTGATTATTTTTAGTTTTTCGTTGCGTTCCTAAAATTTGCATATCTTTATTGCGATTTTCAGTAACTCTCGTTTCGATCTGGTTACAAAATTAGTTTTTATAAAAAGGGGACCCAGTGGACCGTAGCTTCTAATAAATTTCTGAAGGCCAACACTTTGTTGTTTTTATTTGAAGGTTTCAATTGCCCAATGTTAACAGTCTAAGCTATCTTTTCTTTCCCGCGGGGTTCTTTTCAAGGCAACTTATCACTAGTTTCTTTGATGGTCGCAGTCAAAATTGCAAGCTTCTAAACATTAAAAGTCCGGTCAGTCAAGCTGTCGTGTCATTTCATTTCGCGTCCGGGGTGGTAAATTAAACTTAGCTACTTTTATTTGGACTTATCTAAGTTCTCGCAGATTTTTGCAGTATACTTGAAGAAGGGATTTGAAATTGAAGCAAATAGTGGACAAGGGATTTAAAATAGCTCGGTTTTACTTCAAGCATAGAAAATCTGATATTTTTGTTGGTACACAAATTAAGTTTTTTTAAAAGGTTCACGCTCCAGTTAACAGCAGAATATTCGTTCGAATGAGCTGCAAAATAAGTTCAGTTTGAAAATCCATATTGACCGAAAAGACCAAAGTAGACCGAGTTTCTTTTAAGTGCGCGTGGCGCGGATTTTCTTCTTTGTCAGACAAGAGCATGTTTACAAAAACAACATAAAAATGCGCCTGTATTAAAATCATAACGACAATTTTTAGCGTATATTTTTTTAATCGGCAAATCATTATTTCAATTTTTCAGCTTATCTTAGAAATTGGGATAAATATTACCCTAATTTACATTATTTATCGATAAAATAATTTACAACCGCCATCGCTATCCTTTCACTACTGTTTACTTATTTACTCGCTTGTGAGAAGAGAAAAAGAGACACGAAAAAATGCCGAGCAGCGCTGTGAACATGCAGAACACCGCGTAAGTAAACAAATAGGGAGCGGGTTAGAATGAAAGATTCAGTCTAACCCGCTCCCTGTCTGTAAGTACGTCTGTAAATTCGGCAACAGGTACATTTCCGATTCTACTGCGAGCCGATCAGGCTGAAAATTTGCGAGTATGCGTTTTGAGGGGGGGTGGGGGGCGTTCAACAGTGCCGAAGTGGCCTAGGAAATTAGACGAAAAGCAAATTAGACGTGACCAACAAAAACGAATTTAGACGTCGATGCAAAATTACAAATATGGGAAATTAGACGTGATTGTATTGTTCGTGTCTGAAATTTGTTCACCGACTACAATTATCTTTCGTTCGAGCTTTCTTAAATGCAAATCAACTTTTCACATTTCGCAATTTTATCATTGTATAATTTATGCATTTCAAAAATGTTTTATAATCTTGAAATTAACATTTTATAAATCAATTGTGATAAGTGTTTTGGGCACTACTATGATAGAGTGGTCCCTCGAAAAAGCAACTATGATAGACAGGTCCCGCATGCATTTCGCTTGTTATTCCGACTTTCGATACGAAAGTAACGGAATATTTGTGCTCGGGGTGGGTTTTTTTTTCTTCAGACAAATTTCGACTTTTTAACTAGCCGTTTTTGACGGAATTTTTTTATATCATTCGAAAGGTATTGTTGACCTGAGCTTAAATTTGAAAAGATATTTCACCTGTGATCATTTCTCGTAAAGTTATGAGGGCTTAAAGATTGCCATTTTGGCCATTTTGACCAATTTGGGACAATTAACGCGCGATATAATTCGCGCTATTAACGCGTAAGCGGAGATTTATTCCGTCTTATAAATCGTTCCAAATTGGTTGATCGAAGCTTATTTGGCAAAAATGATGTGTTACAAGGAACGAAAACTATCTTTTTGTACTTTATATGGCGTGTGGGGGATGATTTTCATAAAAAATTTCAAATTTTAGAGAAAAAAAATTTCATTTTATTTTATTACATTTAATTTTTTTTATGAATTACTGCTGCTCAATAAACCCTAAAAGGCAGTCGGAACATTCAGGGCTTCGCCCTGATACGAGCAGTCTTGTACTTAATTGAGTCTCAAACTGACTTTTTCTCCAATTTTCGCCAATTTTTTAGGCATAAACTTGATTAAAAGGATGCCAAATGCGTTTTTAATTGTCGTTAAATTCGCCTTTTGCCAGCTTGATTTAACGCTCGGGTTATCAGCCCTGCATTTTTTAAGTCAAATCAAAATCAGTCCAATTTTTTAAGTAAACTTGTCATTTCTTGTAAAATTGTCACGTCACAATTTTTTTTCTATTTTTCGCGGTTGCAAATGGCTAAATGATCATAATCGATGCGGGCACGGTGCCGCTACAAAATAATTTGACGCATTGATTATTTTTAGTTTTTCGTTGCGTTCCTAAAATTTGCATATCTTTATTTTGATTTTCAGTAACTCTCGTTTCGATCTGGTTACAAAATTAGTTTTTATAAAAAGGGGACCCAGTGGACCGTAGCTTCTAATAAATTTCTGAAGGCCAACACTTTGTTGTTTTTATTTGAAGGTTTCAATTGCCCAATGTTAACAGTCTAAGCTATCTTTTCTTTCCCGCGGGGTTCTTTTCAAGGCAACTTATCACTAGTTTCTTTGATGGTCGCAGTCAAAATTGCAAGCTTCTAAACATTAAAAGTCCGGTCAGTCAAGCTGTCGTGTCATTTCATTTCGCGTCCGGGGTGGTAAATTAAACTTAGCTACTTTTATTTGGACTTATCTAAGTTCTCGCAGATTTTTGCAGTATACTTGAAGAAGGGATTTGAAATTGAAGCAAATAGTGGACAAGGGATTTAAAATAGCTCGGTTTTACTTCAAGCATAGAAAATCTGATATTTTTGTTGGTACACAAATTAAGTTTTTTTAAAAGGTTCACGCTCCAGTTAACAGCAGAATATTCGTTCGAATGAGCTGCAAAATAAGTTCAGTTTGAAAATCCATATTGACCGAAAAGACCAAAGTAGACCGAGTTTCTTTTAAGTGCGCGTGGCGCGGATTTTCTTCTTTGTCAGACAAGAGCATGTTTACAAAAACAACATAAAAATGCGCCTGTATTAAAATCATAACGACAATTTTTAGCGTATATTTTTTTAATCGGCAAATCATTATTTCAATTTTTCAGCTTATCTTAGAAATTGGGATAAATATTACCCTAATTTACATTATTTATCGATAAAATAATTTACAACCGCCATCGCTATCCTTTCACTACTGTTTACTTATTTACTCGCTTGTGAGAAGAGAAAAAGAGACACGAAAAAATGCCGAGCAGCGCTGTGAACATGCAGAACACCGCGTAAGTAAACAAATAGGGAGCGGGTTAGAATGAAAGATTCAGTCTAACCCGCTCCCTGTCTGTAAGTACGTCTGTAAATTCGGCAACAGGTACATTTCCGATTCTACTGCGAGCCGATCAGGCTGAAAATTTGCGAGTATGCGTTTTGAGGGGGGGTGGGGGGCGTTCAACAGTGCCGAAGTGGCCTAGGAAATTAGACGAAAAGCAAATTAGACGTGACCAACAAAAACGAATTTAGACGTCGATGCAAAATTACAAATATGGGAAATTAGACGTGATTGTATTGTTCGTGTCTGAAATTTGTTCACCGACTACAATTATCTTTCGTTCGAGCTTTCTTAAATGCAAATCAACTTTTCACATTTCGCAATTTTATCATTGTATAATTTATGCATTTCAAAAATGTTTTATAATCTTGAAATTAACATTTTATAAATCAATTGTGATAAGTGTTTTGGGCACTACTATGATAGAGTGGTCCCTCGAAAAAGCAACTATGATAGACAGGTCCCGCATGCATTTCGCTTGTTATTCCGACTTTCGATACGAAAGTAACGGAATATTTGTGCTCGGGGTGGGTTTTTTTTTCTTCAGACAAATTTCGACTTTTTAACTAGCCGTTTTTGACGGAATTTTTTTATATCATTCGAAAGGTATTGTTGACCTGAGCTTAAATTTGAAAAGATATTTCACCTGTGATCATTTCTCGTAAAGTTATGAGGGCTTAAAGATTGCCATTTTGGCCATTTTGACCAATTTGGGACAATTAACGCGCGATATAATTCGCGCTATTAATGCGTAAGCGGAGATTTATTCCGTCTTATAAATCGTTCCAAATTGGTTGATCGAAGCTTATTTGGCAAAAATGATGTGTTACAAGGAACGAAAATTATCTTTTTATACTTTATATGGCGTGTGGGGGATGATTTTCATAAAAAATTTCAAATTTTAGAAGAAGAAAAAATTTCATTTTATTTTATTAAACTTAATTTTTTAAGGTTTTTACTGCCCAATAAATCTTAAAAGGCAGTCGGAACATTCAAGGCTTCGCCCTTATACGAGCAGTCTTGTTATAATTTTGAAAACTAATTTGTGTATAAATTATTCATTTCAAAAATCTTGCAAAATATGTTCAGCCAAAAACTTTTCAGACTGAAAATTGTAATCACTATTGTTTATATATTGAAATTTGCTCGCTTTACTTTGTTTTACGGTTTAACAACCATATAATTGGGTTGACTTATTTGTCATCAAAACCCACTATCGGCAGTTTCTTTTAAATTTCCAACAATAAAATTGTGAGGGGGAGGTTTTAAGAGGTAACAAAACATGAAATTTGTTTGAAAATATACTGCGACATCTTTCTGAAAGGCGTAATCATAATTATTGAACGATTTGAGAGCCCTAGGTGTCGTATTCTCAAGGGACCTGGTTATTTTTAAGGGACCACTCTATCATAGTAAGTACCGTTTTTTGATATGCAATGGGATCATACACTATTTTTGTAAATATGAAAATTTGTTTTGGGCAATAAGTTTTGTTAGCCCATTGCTTTCCGTCTAAAATGCTAGTTTTGCAAAAACAATTTAACGTCTAAATTCATTTTTGTTGGTCACGTCTAATTTGCTTATCGTCTAATTTGCTGGTGAATTCCCATAGGTTCCAATATTCATAGGTTCCAAAATAAAAAAATCAGTCGCATAAGTTCCAAAATTTATTTTCTTGAACTCTGATTGGTTGAAATTTGATCCAACAAATTTATGGATCGATTGTTTACTGTTCAACCAGCATAAACTCAAGCTGCAGGTCCCGCATGCATTTCGCTTGTTATTCCGACTTTCGATACGAAAGTAACGGAATATTTCTGCTCGGGGTGGGTTTTTTTTTCTTCAGACAAATTTCGACTTTTTAACTAGCCGTTTTTGACGGAATTTTTTTATATCATTCGAAAAGTATTGTTGACCTGAGCTTAAATTTGAAAAGATATTTCACCTGTGATCATTTCTCGTAAAGTTATGAGGGCTTAAAGATTGCCATTTTGGCCATTTTGACCAATTTGGGACAATTAACGCGCGATATAATTCGCGCTATTAATGCGTAAGCGGAGATTTATTCCGTCTTATAAATCGTTCCAAATTGGTTGATCGAAGCTTATTTGGCAAAAATGATGTGTTACAAGGAACGAAAATTATCTTTTTATACTTTATATGGCGTGTGGGGGATGATTTTCATAAAAAATTTCAAATTTTAGAAGAAGAAAAAATTTCATTTTATTTTATTAAACTTAATTTTTTAAGGTTTTTACTGCCCAATAAATCTTAAAAGGCAGTCGGAACATTCAAGGCTTCGCCCTTATACGAGCAGTCTTGTTATAATTTTGAAAACTAATTTGTGTATAAATTATTCATTTCAAAAATCTTGCAAAATATGTTCAGCCAAAAACTTTTCAGACTGAAAATTGTAATCACTATTGTTTATATATTGAAATTTGCTCGCTTTACTTTGTTTTACGGTTTAACAACCATATAATTGGGTTGACTTATTTGTCATCAAAACCCACTATCGGCAGTTTCTTTTAAATTTCCAACAATAAAATTGTGAGGGGGAGGTTTTAAGAGGTAACAAAACATGAAATTTGTTTGAAAATATACTGCGACATCTTTCTGAAAGGCGTAATCATAATTATTGAACGATTTGAGAGCCCTAGGTGTCGTATTCTCAAGGGACCTGGTTATTTTTAAGGGACCACTCTATCATAGTAAGTACCGTTTTTTGATATGCAATGGGATCATACACTATTTTTGTAAATATGAAAATTTGTTTTGGGCAATAAGTTTTGTTAGCCCATTGCTTTCCGTCTAAAATGCTAGTTTTGCAAAAACAATTTAACGTCTAAATTCATTTTTGTTGGTCACGTCTAATTTGCTTATCGTCTAATTTGCTGGTGAATTCCCATAGGTTCCAATATTCATAGGTTCCAAAATAAAAAAATCAGTCGCATAAGTTCCAAAATTTATTTTCTTGAACTCTGATTGGTTGAAATTTGATCCAACAAATTTATGGATCGATTGTTTACTGTTCAACCAGCATAAACTCAAGCTGCAGGTCCCGCATGCATTTCGCTTGTTATTCCGACTTTCGATACGAAAGTAACGGAATATTTCTGCTCGGGGTGGGTTTTTTTTTCTTCAGACAAATTTCGACTTTTTAACTAGCCGTTTTTGACGGAATTTTTTTATATCATTCGAAAAGTATTGTTGACCTGAGCTTAAATTTGAAAAGATATTTCACCTGTGATCATTTCTCGTAAAGTTATGAGGGCTTAAAGATTGCCATTTTGGCCATTTTGACCAATTTGGGACAATTAACGCGCGATATAATTCGCGCTATTAACGCGTAAGCGGAGATTTATTCCGTCTTATAAATCGTTCCAAATTGGTTGATCGAAGCTTATTTGGCATAAATGATGTGTTACAAGGAACGAAAACTATCTTTTTGTACTTTATATGGCGTGTGGGGGATGATTTTCATAAAAAATTTCAAATTTTAGAAGAAGAAAAAATTTCATTTTATTTTATTAAACTTAATTTTTTAAGGTTTTTACTGCCCAATAAATCTTAAAAGGCAGTCGGAACATTCAGGGCTTCGCCCTTATACGAGCAGTTTTGTTATAATTTTGAAAACTAATTTGTGTATAAATTATTCATTTCAAAAGTCTTGCAAAATATTTTCAGCCAAAAACTTTTCAGACTGAAAATTGTAATCACTATTGTTTATATATTAAAATTTGCTCGCTTTACTTTGTTTTACGGTTTAACAACCATATAATTGGGTTGACTTATTTGTCATCAAAACCAACTATCGGCAGTTTCTTTTAAATTTTCAACAATAAAATTGTGAGGGGGAGGTTTTAAGAGGTAACAAAACATGAAATTTGTTTGAAAATATACTGCGACATCTTTCTGAAAGGCGTAATCATAATTATTGAACGATTTGAGAGCCCTAGGTGTCGTATTCTCAAGGGACCTGGTTATTTTCAAGGGACCACTCTATCATAGTAAGTACCGTTTTTTGATATGCAATGGGATCATACACTATTTTTGTAAATATGAAAATTTGTTTTGGGCAATAAGTTTTGTTAGCCCATTGCTTTCCGTCTAAAATGCTAGTTTTGCAAAAACAATTTAACGTCTAAATTCATTTTTGTTGGTCACGTCTAATTTGCTTATCGTCTAATTTGCTGGTGAATTCCCATAGGTTCCAATATTCATGGGTTCCAAAATAAAAAAATCAGTCGCATAAGTTCCAAAATTTATTTTCTTGAACTCTGATTGGTTGAAATTTGAGCCAACAAATTTATGGATCGATTGTTTACTGTTCAACCAGCATAAACTCAAGCTGCAGAATAGTGACCGCCGCAGCCGCGCCAACGTGTTGCGAGCTTGCCACTAAAGGGTAGGACTGTGTACGAAATTTAGAGCCGGTTATCGCCGCGAAGCGGCGACGCGCCCGTAGCGCGCCCACCGGCGACTTTAAGCCGAGACTCGGCTAATTTAGTCTTTTGACCAATTGAAAAGATTTGAAACTTATGCGACTGCTTTTTTATTTTGGAACCTATGGGACTAATTTTTTTTATTTTGGAACCTGTGAATACGCACCAGTTTCCTAACCCCCAGTGCCGAAGTGCAACAGTGCCGATAAATGCGGGAAAATTTCAACCAATCAAAATTGCTAAACGTTTCTATTGGCTAAATGCCTTTCTCACAAAATCGAAGTCAGTATTAACAGAAAATGTATTAAATCAGTTGAAAATAATCGAAATTATTAAAATTGGGGGTTTCAACCGCAATACAATTCAGATAATAATCAAGATTAATGAGGTCAAAATCCTAAGAATTTTTCAGTCTTGAAAAATCATATGCTTATTATCTAATCGGTCAGTATTAACACTACTGGCCTGGATTTATTTTTCTTACTTTGAGATTTTCGCTATTTACTTT